TCATTAGGATCAGAGAGCTTTAGTTTCTTCTTCCCACCTTTCTTCAGAGTTGGTCGATCAGGGACCTTGACATACCTGGACATCCTTTTGATGAGCTCGTTGATACCAGCCGGACTTTATGCCTCGATAAGTGTCTTGTGTCTCGACTTGGATTGCTGAATGGCTTGTCTGATCTCCATCCATTCGCTGTATCCATAGCGGCCACGGTAGGAAGGGTACTCGGTAACGGCATCAAGATTGTCCCTGGTGATGAGCATTGAGACCAGTGTTCCACCGTCTTTAGAACGTCCGCTGATGCTGACGCTGATGATTGAGCGAGGACTGAGTCTCTTTTTCAGTTTTGCTGCACTCCATTGCTTATCCTTATCCTCCAGCTTCAGCTTCTTCTTGCGTTCAGCTTCAGCAATCGAAAGAAGTCTAGCTTGGGCTTGGACAGGATCCACCGTTTTCTTGGACTTCTTCTTGGGAAGGACTTTAGCAGCTAGTGACTTGGCCAGCTTTAAGCTGTCTTCAGTCTGCTTCTTTTGAAGCTTTAGCTCTTCTGCAACCCTTAATGCCTCGAGTCTTTCAGCTTAAGATAAGAAGTCAAACTCACCACCACTAGAGGTACTAAGAGGAATTTTTACTCTAGTCTGGTCGAGTGACTCCTTCAGCTGAGACATCTACTGGTCTGTTGGAGCACAAGAGATGGGTTGATCAGATACCCGCTCCAGTCGACCGCAGGTTGTTGATGGGATATGAAGTTGATATTCTGAAGTAATCACTACCTGAGAGGTAGAGTCTTCAAACAAGGTTTGTTGAGGGCTTTTGAAAAGTACCTTCAAGTCACCTTCTTCAGCGACCGCCTTGCCTTTCGACTTGGGGTCATGGTTCCCTGATGGAGTCGATTCACCTTGCCTTTGCTCCCCCTGGGATGCAGAATCCCCGAGAGCAACACCTTTGGTGACGGTTGATGGCTTCTGGAACTTGATGGTAAAGTCATCTTCATCATCATCATCGTCGTCACCATCTAGATCATCTCCGGTGTCTGAAATGACAGGTTCATCATCGTCTTCATCATCATCAACATCATCATCATCATCATCACCAGCAGCAGTGATGGTATGCACATCATCCCTAGGGATGGCTTCGACGTCCTCAGCTAGAGCAGCTTCAGTGGACGTGATTACAGGAGCAACAACTGCTTCAGCTTCGAGAGCCTCAGCTTGAACTGCAACTAAAGCTGATACTAGACCAACAGTCTGAGAAGCTGTAGGAGCAGCATCAGATGATTCACCTGCATTAGACCTCATCTCCCCCTCTCTAGCTAAGACTCGAGAGAATTGGCCA